CCCTGGGAACCAACCCTGGTGCCCTGTTCACTCCCTCTCATCTGTACAGACATATTAGGTGCAGGGCCATGCCTGCTCTGGCAAAGACACCCTGGGGAGAAGAGAGGGGAGGAAGGAGAAGCAGCATTCTGTTTGCTCCACTTACACCCCCCACCCTCCCAAGAGACGCTGCTTGGTGCAGTGCTGCCCTGCCCAGTTCCTGTGACCAGTTAAAGCAGTCCATGCTGTGGCAAAAGGCCCAGGGGACGATTCTGGTCCCACTTCTAGTCAGCACCTGGAGTTGGCGTCCCACTCACCCTGCCCTAGTTATGCCACTGGCTGCTCCAATACACCCGTCTCACCGTCCAGCAGGGACTGAAAAAATCCCCAAACCAAATTCCCTCCATTCCCTTTCTCCCCTCCCATTCTGAAAACAGCAACAGGCTGGCAGCCAGTGCAGACACCAGTTACAGAAAACCTTTGAAACGTCTTCATCTGACACCCCATGCAAGGAGGGTTCAGATTTTCAACTGATCAGCCATTTTTGAAGCTGTCTGCAGCCATGCACTTGTGTTTGGTCACAGCTATAAACTGCTTTCTGTGGCCAGATCAGGCAAAAATTGTCACTTCTGTCTGTGTCCCTAAAGCTTCCAATAATCACTGCTAAAAAGAAAATACCCGATTTAAAGAACCAATGTCCTCCTACAGTGTGATTAATACTATGTTCTTAAAATGACAGCTCAAACCATCATCCCAAATATATTCATTTTTAGGGAACAAACTTAACTTTCAACCATCCTTTTAACACCTGTATCCATCAGTCCTTAGGCAAAATTCTCAGCTGCTTCGGCAGGAGTTTTGTTGGAGAAAGAACTTCAGAACTTAATACAAATACTTTTCAGATCCAATTAAAATTACAGCTTTGGCTTTAAAGTATCACAGAGGTCATGAAACTGAAAAAACTGACTTTCATGAGGCACTCTACCAATCAGAGGGTTGAATGCATAGGATAAGAGATTTTATTCAGCTGAAATGTTGGTTTATAGCAGCGGTTCTCAAAACGTCCAGATTTAAGGCACCCTGCCATAAGTAGCAGGCCATAAGTAGCAGGACCCCAGTTGAAAACCACTGTTGTACTGACTCAGGACTGAAGGATAAAGATCTTACCTACTTTATCACAAACTTAAAAGTAGACAGGAGCATCCCCTCCTGCCATAGCCACTTTCCTTAGGGACAGCCATTCAAAAAGCTGGAGCCTGAATTGATTCAATCTTTGCAGGTTAGTTTAACCTGCACAGATTGAGCCAATTTGCAAGTGAACAGATACTCACTTTTGACTCTGGAAATGCAGGCACATGCCTGCAGTAGCTCAAGCCAGATGCTGGGGGGCGCTAGAGCAAGCCCTTGGCTGGAGGGAAACTAAGTTGAGGGGAGGCATGGCCAGGCCCCGGCAGGGCTGACTATGAATGGAGAGGGGTTTAAACCTGCACCCTGGCCTGCAGGGACCCCAGCCAGGGTCTACCTGGAGGGGGAGGGGAGAAGCAGCCCTTGTCAGGGGTCCATGGCCACCCACTCCTGCTCACTGGCTGCTCCAGTGGCAGGAACAGGGTTGGGGCCAGATCCCAGTAGCCTATGGGGAAGTGGGGGTTTAATACCCCGAATGCCATGGGGGTGCCGTGTGGGCACCAATAGGCTCTGCTCATGCAACCGGGGTCATGAACCTGGGGCTGTGGGGGCCAGATGCTATTAGCCTGAGAGGAAGGGGGGGTTTAATCCCCCCACTGCAGGCAGCAGTGGCAGGGGGGCACAGACAGTGCCCTGAGCTAAGTCCCTCTGAGGAGAGGCCAGCCAGCTGTGGGAAGAGGGGATGTGACCTGGCTGCAAGGAGCAAGGCAGCTGAGGCTAGGTACAGAGCCCAACTCACCACTGCCTTCTGCTGTGGCAGTGTGGCCCAGCCTGGAGTAGCCCCAGGGGATGAGGGTCAGTGAAGGTGAAAAACCTGTCACCTGCTGCCTGCTCACAGTGATACTAGGCACTTGGGGTGGGCTGCTGTGGGCCAGGGGTTTGGGCAGTGGCAGAGGGAGGCAATGGACCACTGCATCTCGGTCTGGCCCGGCCCCTTGGCCCAGGGACCTAGGCAGTGACTGGCCCATGGCAGCCTGCCCAGAGCACCTGGTGTTGCCACAAGTAGGCAGTGGGTGACAAGTGTTTCACCTCCCCCCACCATGATGGCTTCCTCCAGTGCTGCCGCCAGGAGAGGGAGGGGCGAGTTGCCATGGACCAGTCACTGCCTACGCCCCCGGGCCATGGGGCCAGGCTGGACCGGGTTGCACTCCTGGGTCATGGGGCTGAGCTGCACTGGGTTGTGGTGGGTCCCTTGGCTCCACCCGCTGCTGCCCATGTCCCTGGACCACAGAAGACCACCCTGAACGCCCGGACCCGCAACCCAGGAGTGCGGCCTGGTCCAGTCCGGCCCCACAGCCCAGGAGCATAGGTAGTGACTGGATTATGGCAGCCTGCCCCTCCCTCTCCCGGCAGCGGAGCGAACTGTCACAGCGGGTGGAGGTCCTACTCGCAGTGGTGCTGTGTGCTTAGGGTGGGCTGCTGCGGGTCACTCACTGCTTAGGCCCCTGGGCTGTGGGGCGGGGCCGGGCTGCAGTGGTCCATTGCCTGCCCCCACAACTGTCCATGCCCCTGGCTTGCAGCAGCCCGCCCCAAACGCCCAGTGCTGCCACGAGCAGGCAGTAGGTGACAGGTGCTTCATCTATGCCCACCGCAATAGTTTGCTCTGTCACTGCTGCTGCTGGGAGAGGGAGGGGGTGGAGAGCTATGTTGCAGCTCCAGCCCACCTGTAAACTGCGGCCCAGCCCAGTCTGTGCTGCCAGAGTAGGAGGCAGCAGTGAGTCAGGCACCATACCTAGTCTTGGCCCCGCCCCCCTCCCTGCAGCCAGGTCACATCCCCCTTCTCTGCCCCCTCCCTGCGGCCGGCTAGCCACTCTTTGGAGGAACTTGGCCCAGGGCGCTGTGTCAGTGCCCCTCCCATCGCTGCTATCTGCAATGGGAGGATTAAACTTCCATTCCCCTCAGCCTACTAGCATCTGGCCCCTGTGGTCCTGGGTTCATGGCTCAAGGTGCACGAGCAGAGCCTACTGGTGCTTGCGCCATCCCCCCTGCAATGTGGGGATTAAACCCCCACTTCCCCTCAGGCTACCAGAGTCTGGACCCACCCCTGCTCCTGCTGATAAAGCAGTGAGGGGTGTGGGGAGCTAGGGATGCCTGGGGCTGCTGTCCCCTTGCCAGGCAGACCTGGCAGCACTCCAGAGCAGGGTTTTCCATTCCCACCCTTTTCTCAGCCAGCTGGAGCAGTGATAGTGTGCTAGGGAGGAGAAGAGCAAGGCCAACCCTGCTTGGCTGGAACAGACAGCCCAGCCCAGGGCTGCAGAGCATTCTGGGATGCTGAAGGACTCTGATTTAATTTAAACTAGGAAGGGTCTGGGACAGAAGTTGCATAAACCAGTTTGACCCAAATCAGTTAAGTCTGATACTACGTTCAACCAGGTTTATCTTAAACTAGTTTCAGCAACTTTGAATCTGGTTTATGTGCACTGAACTTATGTTCCCTTACAGGTTTAAACCAGTTTCTGATCACTTAAACTGGTTTATGTGCCTTTCTGGTCTGGCTATGCATGCACTCTTAAAAGGGTCTTGCAGTACCTGATTGTGAACCATTAGCAAACAGAAAAGAAAAGGGGGAATTAGTCAAATGACAACTCGTAAGATAGTGCTCTGCAGAGTGGAACTGTACGAAGAAGAATTTTGTTTAGCTGTCTTTGTAAATATTTTCCTTGTATCCCTGATGTAAAAGTTACTAAAAAGTTACCATGATATATATTTTTTACTTATGGCAACTGCTTATCAAACCTGTTATACATTTGTAGAACCCTTGATAAGTCTCTAGCCAAATAATACCCTTGAACAAGTCTTCATAAGAATACATTTTTCTTTGGAATTTTCAATAAAACTGTTGCAACAGCTTTGTTTAAACATAAAATAATTCTGAGTCAGAATGATAACCAATTTTTGCAAAATGAATGACCCAATTTGTTCCTGATGGGAAACGCACAAAGATATCATAAGAATTTTTAATAAACACAGGATTAATGAGATGCACATCATCTCTGAAATAGCAACAACACAGATTTACTCCTGTAGGCAGAAAAGACTTCAGTTACCATCCCTAGAAATTTAAAACTATTATTTCAGCCGTATGTAGAAAACTAAATTGTTACAAAAAATGAAATAAAGCATAGCTAAAAAAGTAAAAACAAACAAATTTGCATGAATGTCAGTTTCTATGCTTTTTGTTTTCTCAATAAAATGCAAACTTTCCCTCCATATTTGGTTATAGTTTTCTCCATAAAAGGGCACTGTTTATTTGATATGAAATTACCGTTTAAAATGTAAACATGCCCAGAGGCCTGAACAATGGACATGCTTTTCCAGTCACTCAAACAAGACACCTCCTAAAACTATTTTTTCACTTTAATGAGCACACACCCATGAAAAGGAATGGAGTTCTAATACTTAATACTTAAATTGCATTTCAGATTTCTCTTCAAATTCAAACTATAAATAACAGTATTTCCAGCTTGGTTTCATCTCTTGGATTTCTGTTTACACTTTATCAGTTGGTGTCATTTTGGACAACTCTCTAAATAAACTGGTATGGTGAAATATTGCTTATATTGCCAGATTATTTTATATCTTGTGTGGTGATATTAGTCTGAAATAACATGAATTAAGTATAAAGAACTGGAAAAAACACACAACATACATTAGAGAAAATGTATGGCACCTTCCAATGTTGTTAAAGAGTCTAATTGACATTTATCTGAAACAGATACTCCGTTGCCAATAAACCTGTGAACATTTCTAGACCATCAATACTTGAAAAAAAAAAAAAAAAAAAAAAAAAAAAAAAAAAAAAAAGACATGAAAGTCAGGAAAGTTGTGGTACTTACTCGATGGGTAGTAAGAATCTGTGACAGTGTGCTGAGGTTGGGGAGCAGGTGGCTGATAGTACTGTTTGCTCCCATAGCTACTTGCAGATGGAGATCGTCCATAATTGTAATTATCCTGCATACGAAATTTAAACAGAAAACAAGAAAGATAATCAGTACACCACCCAATACTTAGAAAAGGCACATGAAAAAAAACAAAAAAACCAAACCTGATATCCATCAGGGCAGATCCAGACAGGGTGCAGTGGCACAGTCACACTCCTCTTTGGCTGTACCACGCATGAGATCTTGGTGCCAGGTCTGGCCAGATTCCCTGCTTTTGCATGGCTCCAGAGCCTAGGGGGTGAGCACTGCCACCGCTGCTTGTCCTGTCCTTTCCCTGCTTCTGAATTCAGCAGGGAGAGGGAGGGAGGGGAAGAGCAAACATCAGCAGAATTCAACACTTGGGTCTGGAGACACCGAAAAGCAGGGGGGTCCATCCAGACCCTGCCCTGATCAGCTGATGAACTCAGAGTTCACTACTTAAGAGGGCTCTGGCATGTATGGCACAGACAAAGAGAGGGGTGAAATGCACCCCTTGCTCCATTTCTGGATCCGCTACTGAAAGCCATTCTGTATACTTAATGAAAAAACTGTCCTAATATCTTTATTTCTGTAAACTGGAAAAAGTCAGTTTATTTTAGAAAGATATTTAAAGAGAGCACCACAAATATTCTTTATTCAGAATGGATCATCCTTGGACTTTAGGACAGAAAAGCTCTGCATGTTCTCAGACTTGCACCTCTTTTGGTTCTCTGGAAATTTGCCTTGATCACATAGCATATGCTGCAGCATAAAAGAATTAGAAATTTTAGGTTTATTTAAACAGAATAGGGCACAAAAACCCAGACCTCAAAAGAACTTATCAGAAAAATTCTTTAATACCAATTTATTCATAATGGTACCTAAAACCTTACTTCAGTCACTGGTTGGAATGCATTGTGTTAGGTCTTATAAAAATATCAAAACCAAAAAGACAACCGCCACCCCCAGAACTGACACATTCAGGTATGTAATTACAAAACAAACAACTGAAGCAAAAAATAACAGGCGAGGACAAGAGGGAAAGAAGGACAAACCAATAATGGCAGATTATCTGGGTACACATCATATTTTATCAGCTGGAAGTACTTACAGGTGTCATGACAGAAATGAGTCCGGAAAAGGAATCTGAAGGACATAAAGCGCTGACTTTTGTCATTTTTATAGGGGTACGTTTATGCCATCCGTAATAGGTAACAACAGACAAAGCAGGAAGTTACTAGGCCTGTGCAAAGTGGCTAGTATTCGCTTTGGATTTGGCTGATTCGGGGGACAGTGATTTGATTTGGCGATTCGAATCACTGTCCCAAATTGATTTGGCCAAATTTGATTCAGAGATTTGACCGCCGCCAAATCAGCCAAATCTCCAAATCGGCCTCATCCCCTGCCCGCTCTCCCAGCTGCTGGCCCTTTAAAAAAAGAGGAAAAAAAGCCCCCACTCACCAGCTGCTGCCAGGCAGGGGGGGATCCCTGCTGCCCCCCACTACCCCGTGCTGCGTGAGGGGCTCTTCAATAAGCCCTCTGACCCCTGCCTGCTCCCAGCCCCTCTATGGCTGCCCCACCTGCCCCACCTCCATCCCTTTAAAAAAGGCCCAACTCACTGGCTCCTGCCAGGCAGGGGGTGATCCCCACTACCCCACACTGCGTGGGGGGCTCTGCTATGAGCCCCCAGAAGCCTTGAGGCCACTGAAGCAGCTGGTGAGTGGGGCTTTTTTTTTTTTTTTTTTTTTTTTTTTTTTTTTTTTTATTTTTTTTTTTTTTTTTTTTTTTTTTTTTTTTTTTTTTTTTTTTTTTTTTTTTTTTTTTTTTTTTTTTTTTTTTTTTTTTTTTTTTTTTTTTTTTTTCGGGATGGGGCCTGGCAGGGGTCCCCTCATGGTCCCCTCCGCCCCCTCCCCTACCCCCTACTTACCGGCATGGAGTCTGGGTCCAGCTCTCTGCTGCAGCGAGCTAGGACTGCCTGAATCACAGAAGCTCTCTGAATCTTTTCCAAATCAATTTGGAGAGCTTCAAATCGTTTCAGACCTTTTAATTAGTCTCCTGATTTGATTCAGATTTGGGAGATTTGGCCACCAAATTGGACCGAATCTCCTCCAAATCGAATCAGCACCCAAAGCTTCTTACAGCCCTATAAGTTATACAGGCAGCAAACAATGGAAATATTAGCAGAATGAAGGCAGAGATTGCTGCTGTAACTAACAGAAATGATAGCTGGAACACAACTACATCAGCAACAAACATTTGTAAAATCATAAGGATTTTGTATTCATGAAAGACTTTAAATCGATTTATTTATTTATAAGATATAGGGGAGCATGGGTAGTGATAATGCACCTTTTCTTTATCAAGATGTGGCAACACTGATGTTCAGAGTTCAAGTATAAGATGATAAAATAGTGTTGTTGCTAACAGAAGTGCAAAGTATGATGGTTTATTGTTAGTCTGTGAACCATATCTCATTTCAAACAGTTTTATAGAAGAATTTTAAAGCCCGAAAAGACCATCTAGTCTAACCTACATTTCAAAGTCCATTCAGTTTCACCCAATCATCTCTATACTCCCAATAATCTTAGTTTGGCTGAAACATTTTGGCCTCATATCCAATCAATGTAAAAGTCAAAAGTGACATCAATGACCAAGGCCCTTGTAATGGCAGGCTACTCAACTGACAGTATATACTTGGATGATGCTGGCAAATGTTCCATGCTTCCCGCTACAAAGGAAGGAAACAAACCCCCAAGGTCCCGCCAATCTGACCTGGGAGAAAATTTCTTCATGACATCAATTTAGCTACCAGTTGACTGTAAACATGGTATATCAGCTGGGGATTTAAAGAAGATTCTCTGTACCACCTCTATGGTACTGGTCCACTCCATCTGCATTTCATCTCTAGGTGTGGTCCACAAAAGAAGATAACAAACAGGAAGATTCACAAGACTTCATGTCAAAAGAGATTATTTACAGCCATTCAACCTACATCCTGCATATACAGGCTGTTGAATTTCTCCCAGAAACTGGATTTTGGAAAGATATGAAAGTCTGCCATCTTCTCTAGTAAGTTTTTGCAGGGTTTAATTATCCTCTCTAATAGATTATTGCAGCTTTTGAGATTTAATTTGTCTAACTTTGATTTCCAGGCACTGGGTCTTGTTCTGTCTTTGTCAGCAAGACTGAAAAGCTATCTCCCACTACCATTAGAGTTGTTTTTTCCCCCCAGATTAAGGTACTTACACACATTGATCAATTTACATCTTATACCTCCTCTTTGATATGTGAATAAATTGGGTTCTTTAAGCTTAACGTTGTAAAGCTTGCTTTCCCACCCTTGACCAAGTTTCAGAGCTCCACATTTGAATTTTGCCCATTCTTCCACATTAAACTGAAAGCATGGATGTGGGTACTGGTAATGGTGTTGCAATGCTAAGTAAACAGACATGATCACTTCTGTAATTCTGTGTGTTATGTCCCTTTTTATATATCCAAAGGGATGGACAAACGTATGTTTTAGCTGCTTTAGAAGGGAAGAGGGAGCTACTATGAAATGTGCAGCAGCTGTTAGACTGTAACTGCTATGTCTGCATGATCCTGTACAGATACAAGTTAGCTGAATTACCTAATTTTGACCCCAGATGAGTAAAGTAGGAGAGGTTTTGCTACCCTTGTACAGCTTCAGAACCCTTACTGGCATCTTTTTATAGCAATACTCTTGTTTTGTGTATATACTCAAAGGATAGCATTCAACCTTTATGACATAGCATTGCTGTCAAAACTTGGGTTGCGGTGACTGTGATGAATGCTACTAGTAAAACATGTAGGGCATTTTTACACATGGAGGCACCCGGCACTGTGAAACCTGCAGTTGTATAAGTAGAAAAATGTGTGTCAGCGCTGAGAAAGTGGCGGCGGTGCACTTCTGAACTAAAACACATCTGAGATGCTTTAGTTCAAAAGTGCATTGCTGCCATTTTCTGCGCACTGACGCACATTTCGCCACTTGTACAACTGCATGTGGCGCAGGTAACCTCAGCTTGCATGCAGAGCAGACTCGATTAATTGAGTCTGCTCCTAAGTGCTGGGTCGCAGGACAGAAAAGTATGTGTATAAATGCCTGTAGATTTAAAGGACTATTGCATCAGAGTTACAGGCATTATATTTATCTTGGAGAGTTTGCTAGCAATGATATACTTGGCTCAGTAGGTGAGACAGGGAATACTTTAGGGACCAAAACACTAGGAACTAACTCATGCAAATTCTCAAAACAGAAACAATATAGGCAACAAATCTTTTGAAGTTTAACCCCAAGGGGGAGGAAGCAAAAACTAAACCGGTTCAAGAGCTCTAAAATGACGAAGGGCATAAACCTGTATAAAACTCTAGGCCTACAATAGACTAATTTAAATAAAATATTTAAAGTAACTGATCTTAATCATAATTTAAATCAGCAATCAGAAAAACTTAGTTAATTTATTTTTTGTTCTGCATTTTTTTTTTTATTTACTAAAGTCTGATTATGATTTAAGCAACTGTGTCCCTTAACAAACTTACTGGTATTTGTATTGGACATGCTATGTTTGGAAATGGTGAATGATGCATTTCGTAATTAATAGGTATGACAAGAGGCCAACTCAAGACTAGATCTTAACGTCAGCCCACCCACCTGTCTAGAGCAGTCTGCCCCGTCTCCCTGCCATGACTTGGTGTAATAAAATAGATGTTGAGTGCTGGAGGCTGCCCATTAAATGCCTGGATGCCTAGAGCATTGTAGACAGCTCTGTACCATCCCTACAACATGTCCCATGCCTCGCAGATAGCACTGCAAATTGATAACAGCTCTGGTCCAAGACTGGGCTAAACTCTGCCCCTTGCTGGGCCTGTAGCATTCCCCTCTTGCACTCCGTCCCGTCTCACAGGGCCTCATTCATCCTGCCCCTCACTGGGCCACTCACAACCTGCCCTGCTCTTTGAGTGTCCCCCCTCGGGCCATCAAGCTTTAACTACTCTCGCTCCGGCCATTCCATACGCAGTCCTTCGGGTCACTCCAGCAACACTACTCTACACGGTACTAGTCTTATCCCTCACACTAGGCTGAACTCAGCCGCTAGCCCTTCTCCAGGGAATTTGCTCCTGTTGCCACTTGTGGGGGTTGGCCCTTGTGCTGCCCTTCAGGTCACCCCTGCAAACCTACTCTACACACACACACACACACACACACAGTCCTTCAGTCGCCCCCATACGCCCTACTCTGTGCAGGCTCTTCTATACACTTTCACCCCCTCACAGAGCCCCTTTCTGCCCCCTCACTGGGGCCAACTCTATGCCCCTTCACAGAGTTTGGGGTCTTACACTCCATGGACTCAGGTGTCCATAGACATGCCTGGCCCCACTGCTAACTCTCGGCTTTAAAATTACCCACTGGGTAGTGGGAGCTGAGGTTATAAGGCACCTCTACCCATCTTTCACTGGGGAGGCAATTGGCCTGGCATTTCTGGGGAACTACCCCACCAGGTGTACTCCCACCAGACTATCCTTCCCCAGCAGGGTTTAGTTTTTGGTCATGCCCAGGACCAGGATCCTCCTGCCATCCCCACAGCTCCTGCCCTTACCTTTAAGATGTTCTGAGCAGCCGCTCAGCCGGGTGGTGTTCTTCCAGCTGCCAGCAGCAGACTGCTGGCTCAGCCCTGAGGGTGAGAGCTAAAATGGAAGCTGCTCAACCCTCTCCCCCAATCACATGGTCTGCCTGCAGTCATGTGACTGCCTCATCAGGGCTGGAAGGCACCTGCAGGCTGCCCTGCTGCCACTCCAAGCCCTTAAAGTGGCAGGCACCCAAAAGTACTGTGCCACAATAAGTTTTTTTTATTCATGGTACGTGCCAAGTTTCATTTGCACAAAAACTGGAGTTCAATGAAAAATGGACATAAAGAGCATTTTAGGGTTCTTTTTATTAGTTCATTAAACTAATCTTAAGTATGTTGGATATATTAGAAAAAACGTTTAAGCACATTTTACATTTAAAACAGAATTATTGAACAAATGAAGTATTATCTATAGTTGGTGAACTGATTGATTCATGCTGTGTCCTTCAAGATTTTAGAACTAGATCTCATCCTCATACCTCATTTTCGCTTACTTGATGGAAACAGAAATATAAGATTACCTACTGTTTCAGTTACCTCTTCGATAAAATTGTTTCTGATGAGGGGTCACTAGTGTCAAAGTGGATCCCCATAGGAGTTTCAATTAGTGACCTCAGAAACTCAATTACTCTTGAGATGATGTCCTCCTTTGCTCCTAGAAGGCAGCAAACTGTTCTGTTATCCATCTGCCCCTTTCAGAATGCATTATCCAGTCTTAGCAATCCCCCCAGAATGATTCTCTTCTGAAGTCAACTGTCAATCATGTTAGGCTTCTAAGAGATCCACCTAGCTTGAGCTATGAAGCATTTTTTTCTTCTGCTGACTGCTATTTTCTTCCAGCTAGTTCTTGTAGGTTGTTCTCTTCAAATGTCTTATTCACAATTTGAAGGATCAAATATTCTTCAGGTGCTGGATATATCCTTTGGATTCTTTTTCTGGTTACAGATTTTCAGTCTTCTTTGTTTCCTTGATTCCCCTTGGCACCTGACTCCACTGTTTTCTCCAGCAGATTAACTGTAGTAATGACCCAGCCTCAGTATCCCAGAAATCCTCCATCTCCCTGCTGCTTTGCAAGGTGATCAGCTGTTTTTGAAGACCATGTACCTTTTCTTCCATCATGGCTATCAGCTTGCACTTTCATGTAGATACATTCTCCTCTCTCTCTTCAGGCAGACAGCATCCAGTGAAGATCACAATAGCTGGTAACTGTCCAGTCCTTGCTGCTAAGGCAGATAGCTGCTGCTTAAGGTTCTCTATAAGCAGGTTTATATACCTAGCCAAACTTAGTCCCACTCCTTGCTAAGCGTTATCAGCAAGTTCACTAGATCAAGACTATAACCCTGGAACAAAATACTCAAAATAAAATTGCGTTCCTAAAATCAATCATAAGGAACCCAAAGACAATGATTTACTCAATCACCTGCAAAACACAAGAATGCTCCTCAGGCATTAGTTGAGGCTACTGTTAAAAAAAAGCCATTAAAGTACATTCTCCTTTAAAAAATGACAATGAAATGGCACAATGGAAATTCATAGTGGCTATTTCAGCAGCATACATACTCCCACAATAGCTATCAGGAGAGGGATGTAACTATTGGCAGGGTGTTCTCTGTGAAGAGTGATTGCTTCCATGACTCTCAGGCCCTTGAGCTCATACCTCAAATTTGTTAGCCTTTCAGGCCTACTACAAAGCCTATGTTGTAGTTCAGTGGATTGGGAAATTTTAATATAGATTCTCCTGCAAGTATAGAAGTTTTTTTAGAGAAGAGGCGATTATGCAATCTTGCCTGCCATGTAAGTTGGCATGAAGATCAATTTTTAAAAATGCTTTAATTGTAAAGGTTGCCAATGTATGGAATAAGCACTTTCTGAGGATTCATAATAGAGGTAAATCAACATAAACTAAGTAAGGACTATTACCTCCTGTGTACAGTATAACAGAACAAAATCAGATAATACTAAGACTATGTCTTTTTAAAAAGTACTATATTACTGTTTAGAATAGGGCTCTCCAACTGGGCCTCTGGGCTGCATCCTGTCCATGAAGGTTAACACATAGCACCTATCCCCCAACCCTCCCTGGGTTTCTGCCTGACTACCAGTACTCCCATTACTCTAGATGCAGTGGCAGCTGGAGTCCCCGAGTTGAAGCAGCACAGCAGAAGGCACCCTGCCCACATAGCAGTGCCAGTGAGGGGTTTCGGCAAGGGGCTCATGATGCAGGGGGCTCACAACTGTGGGAGAGGAAAAATCGCCCATACAGTGTTGGAAGTGGGCTGCTTTCACAGTGCAGAGGAGGCTCATGCTACTCACATGGCAGCAATGGAAGTAGGGGAAATGCCTGTGTGGTGGTGGCAGCGTAGGGCTCAGGTGGCAGTGTGGGGCTCGCATTGCTTGCACAGCTGGAAGGCTGCATGCAGTGGGGGTCTTAACAAGACTGTGCAGCCCCTGCAGCATGCAGCCTGCAGGACATGCAACCCAAGACCTGTAACCTGTGTGGTGTGCAGCCCCTAGCTGCTCTGGAGTTGGACAGCCTTGGTTTAGAAAATAAGCATACACCAAGCACAAAGATGCCAACATAAATATACTTTGTAGCAAATTCATTTTTTCCCCACATGATATACCTTCTAATACCAAGGAAGAAAATTCAGGTCATGTAACCTTCACAGCCTTTCATACTGTCTTAACCTTTTCTTTATCTGTAGTTGGATAATAGCAGATTCACTCACAGTTACATCCAACTCATTGAATAATGGCATCAAGTAGTACAATGAGCTAAAAGCAGGTGATTTTTTTAATTCTGGACACTGAGCTGATTGGAAGAAATATCTGAAAAGACCTGTTTGTTTCTACTCTACAAATGGAGTAAAGAATTATTACATGCTTACTATTATTAGTAGCAGTACTAGTATGATTTCATACTCGCTATCCCACCCTTGATATTCTACATAAGAAAAAGTTTTTCCTGTGTGGTTTAATATGAACAGTCTCATACACGTTACCAAACAACAACAATGAAGTCAACAAAAGGGTTCTTGGATGAATACCTGGTAGTTTGGTGCTGTGGTAGGCTGGGGGGTAGGTTCTTGTTGCGGTGCTCTGTAACCATAGTCCGGTCCTGAATGTGTCTGGTACACTCCATAGACATGAGTAGCAAATGGTCTGGCAGCCTGGGCTGCAGGAGCATAAGATGGTGTTACAGGATGTTCCACCCCAGGAGTTTGCTGGATGGTGTAGCTCGGTACAGTGGTTGGATGTGAATAAGCTGTAGCTGGCGGAGTGCTGTAAAACAAGAAAACATCTTAAAGCTGACGGGTTGCACAAAGCAGTGGTGTTGGCAAGGGTACCACAGGAAGTGGCGGTGGGTGTGGGGAGTGGCAGCGAAGGGAGTGGTGGGGGGGCTGTGAGAAGTGGTGGCCGGTGTGGCAGGAAGTGGTGGCGGCTGCAGCTGGGAAGCAGCAGCAGCAGGCAGGCTTGCAGGAGGAAAAGCATGGAAATGGCGGGGGAGTGGCACCTGCAGGTGGGAGTGCAGAGCCCGTGCTGATGCCCTGGGACTGGCAAGAATGCAGTCTGGACATGAGGTCTGCCTAGCTGTATCGTGTGAGGCTCGCACACAGTCTGCACGAGCCGCACGCAATGGTGTCTGCAGCCCGGCCCCATCTCTCTCTCTCCCACTGCACCCACCATAACCCCACACCCTCCCACAGCCCCCACCCCAACCACATACACCCCTCCATGTACACCCACTCACTATACCCTCACACACTCCCCAACCATACCCCCCACATACATCCCCTTACCGCCCACATGCAATATATGAGTAGGATTGTATTTTGAGCTATTATGCAATCACCTCTAGATACACTTCGGAAACGTACATAAATTAGTATAAAATATTCTTAAATAAAATTAAAATAAGTTATAGTAGATGTTTTTGTATATAGTAGGTGTTTTGTATATGATTATTTTTTCTGTTTCAAGATTGCAGCACCCTCCCTCCCAAAAGGAGTACTTCTGGGGAAAGGGGAGGTACTTCCAGTGGCAAAGGTCAGGGGATGGGGACAGAACTTCTGGTCCCAACATGGCAGCTGGGGGGGCGGGGCAACTGTCAAGGTGCAGAGCTATCCATGCAGCCCTCAACAGCTCACCAAAACTTAAGTGGCCCTTCAGCCAAAAGAGCTGCCTGCCCCTGATGTAAACCATCTGAAGATCTGTCCCCAAAACAACATGGTTTGGGTCCTAAAGTTTATCTTCCATTGCTGGTTATTTCGCTCATAAATTTCATTTCTTAAATTTATATATTGATTATTCATAACCTTGTATACATTTTTTTTAAATTCACATATATTTTCTTGGCAACATGTCACCACCAGATGGACTTAGAACAGATAATAACTAAAGACTAATAGACAACATTTAAGCAAGGAGACCCTGTATTGTAAGGTTGTTGAAGAAGGATGCTACTGTACTTCCTTATCTATGCTATTTATATAGCCCCCAACAACAAAGTATCCAAGGCTCATCACTATCTTTGATAATTCATCCTTGTAAAGCTATTTTAATGCTATGGGAGCACTGCTGTCCCCATTTTAAAGTCTCCTCTCTTTTTCTCTCCTTGAGGCAAAAGACTAGAGAAAAGTGCACTGGGATAGTTACACATAAATGAACAACTGCCCTGGGAACAAAATATCTGGGAATAGAATAATCACGGTATAAACTTCCAGGTTTGGGCAGATTTACCTTGATACAACGTGTTGCATTTTATAGTCATAACTTTTTCCTTCCTCAGCACAGTTTGGGTTTTCCTAGGATGCCTATGGCTTAAGTCAGGTGTTGGCAAGACATGGCCCAAGGAGCTAGAGGCTTCTGTGGCATTGCAGAGGTGTGGGGCTTTGGTAGGGGTGGAAGGCAGGCAGGGAGAAACAGTGGCGGCACACCTAGTTCTTGCCTACCTTGGACCTGAGCTGGGTCATTCCATCTCACTGCCAGAATATTTTTTTTCCAATATCTGTCTTAAATACCCACAGGGGAAGAAAATGGATCCCAGGTCTCCCATAACCCAGGGTAGAGCACTACCCATTGGTTCATCTAGCTTCTCTCTACACATCCACCCCAGGAATTTCAGATACCATACCACCAACAAGACCGTATTTTTCCATTAATGCCTTTTTCCATGAATTGGCATGAACAGACACTAAATGTATTTATTTTTAATTCAACATTACTTTTTTTATTTTAAATAGCATAGCTGGTCCTCTGCCCTCCCAAATATATTCCCAACTCTGTAGAAAGTACTATATTCTTCTTTGTTTGATATATTTAAGAATTACATAGTATGAGCTAAATAAGTCCTTGTATATTGAAATCCAATCATCTTCCTTTCTAAAAAGTATAATAATTGAGATAAATTGTACCATAGAGGTTAGCTATTTAACATTTTAGAATTATCCTTGAGCCCTGTATGTCACGTATGAGTCCTTCAATGTAAATGTCAACCAAGATAAGGCATGCTTCTGACCTAATTCCTCATCAGCACTTCATGCTTACATTTTTACAAAGCATCCATATGTGTATAAGTATTTTTGAATGCCTGAACTTACTGAAAGCAAATTAAAACACTATGCTTAAAAATATCTCTAAGTAATAAGTATGCAACCAAGAGTAGTCATGTAACATACCTTTGGGGTAACATTTAGAAGTTGGGGAGAACTGCATAATAATAAAGTTTTGGGATATATGGATTTCTCTTTTTTGTACAGTCCCTAAATTAAAAAAAAACCAAGTGAGCATCCACAATGTGGCTCACAGGCCAGCTGTTTTAATTAATATTATTTTTAAAAGTATTGGTAAACTGATGTGTGACAATTGGGTTTCCCATGTTAGGACATCAAGAAGTAGAGTCTCCCAAAGACAGCATGTTATCTAATCCCAAACCTCACTTCTACTTCTTTCTGAAATGTCACTTGCCAGTAACTAGAGTTCTTTAAGACTCATTGTCTGTATTCACGTTCTCATCCCAAACATTTGATTAGAGACTTTTCCCCTTAGCAGTACCTGTAAAGTACACTCTAGTTGCCCTTTCCTTCTATTCCCCACACTGAAGGGACAAAGGGTGGTGCATGCTTCCCACTCCTCAGCTTCCTCTGAAACACTCTTATACTGTACATGACTCTGAGGAAGTGAGAAGGCAGCAAGATGTGAACATATGTGGACCATATATCTTGAAGAACTCTAGCTACTGTTAAGTAATTTATTTTTCTTGCAAGTAACTTTCTACATACACATTCTCACTATTGTTGCTTCCACAACAGTGCCCACATACAACTGAAAGTTTGCCTTGCAGTTCTCCAGACAAACAGCAAGTGCAGGACTGCCCTACTGGATGAAGCACCTATTCTAGAGGGTTTTGCGATGGCATAATGCTTAGTGAACATATAATTTGAGCTCCAAGGGCATGTGTACACGAAACAAGGGGTATGTGTGCATGACACTTTAAAGCGGGTTAAATGCTTTTGCACTGCTTTAATGGTGTTGGTGTTTGCATGCATTGGCGGTGTATTGTGCATTAATTTCAGCTGCTTTAACACATCGGGTGGTGCAACGCACCTTAAATGACTTTGTGGCGCAGCAAACTAAAACACTTCCGAGGACTTTTAGTTTGCTGCCCTATAGCCGCGAAGCAATGTACTGGGCTCCGTGCAGCTCAGGGACTGTGCAGGCAGCCCCTGCAGGCAGCTTGGCAAGGCAGGCTCCGCCCAGAAAATGTGGGGAGCCTGATCTTTTTTATTTTTTTCCCCTGGAGCCTGACTGCCTGCATGATCTGTGTGGGGACCTGGTCCTTTCCTCCATGGCTGTGGTGACGCCTGGGACTGCCCAAGATGGGTGCCTGTGGGTGGGTGCCACCGGAGGGGGGCTGCCGCTACTGCAGAGGGAAGCACCAGCACCTCCCCACCCCGCCTAAGGCCCAGGGACTATGCCACCAGCCGGCAGCTCGCCTTCCCCTCCTCTCCCCGCCACTGGAGAGGCAGCTAAGACACAGGTGTACATGACACAGGGGTTTACTTCACCCTAAATTGGAGCAGTGTTTTTAAAAAACCCATCACTTCAATTTAGGGCCCCCGTTTCGTCTACACACACCCCAATTAATCACCCTGCAAGCACCACTTATGAAGGGCATTGCGTACGAAGCCTATAGAGTTGGTCTGGCTCTGGAGGAATGGATTGATATCCACAATGGCAACTGCACCCCAGCAATCTCACAGCATACTTTTATTCAGCCTGATATCCAGTTGGATGGATTTGCAGAAAGAAGAGATCCCACAGAGACAGCAGGATAAGGCTCTTCTGACATTGACAAAGTGTAGTGAGGCCCCAATTCAGGAGAAATTAGGCTTTGAGAAGAACACCAGCAAATTGACATGCTCCGCCAGATAAAAATCAGTGATGATCACCTTGGTAGGAACACTGGGTGGCTCCTTACAGTTCCCTTATTTGGATAGAAGGCTATCGTTGGGATCTACAATGACTATCACACACTCTCCTTGTTGATGGAACTGCCTGTAACAGAGCTTGGGATCCTCCGTCACTTTTAGGGAGAAAGAGCTTAGGGAGAGCCCTAGGTGAGAGGAAGATGCTGAGACAGAAGCTGCAGCAATGATATTCAGACCTCGTCCAGGTCTGCAGCTCTCTGACATGAAGTCCAGTACGTGGTGTACCAGGTACAAGAGGCTATGTGCCACAAGAATTAGAGATGTCTCCTTGCTGTTATTAAAAGGCACTTCTTAAATGACAGGACAAGCTTTTCTAGGAAGAGAATCTGGTGGCAGCTAAGCCTTTATTGACACCAACCTCAAAGTAGTTTCTGCTTCTGTACGAGGACCAGAATTGAGTTCTGCAAGTTGATCATCAGGCCTATTCAAAGGTGGCTGCCTAATTAGCCAGTCATCCAAATGGGTGAACTGCAGTCCATTGTCTTCAGAGGTGGATAGCTACTACCAAGAGGGCCGTAGTAAACATTCTTGGAGCCATAGACACTTTTTATTAGTGGCACTCCTAACCCACCATGAAACAGAAACTTTCTGTATGGAGGAAATGAGCATTTTGTACGTAGAAAGATGAAAACCAATCCCCTTGTTTGTAGGGATGATGTATAACTGCAACAGTTAGTCTCCTGAACTTGAGCTCATGAATGAAAGCACTGATATTTTATTTATTTATTTTTAAATGTCCAAGACTGGTTACCTCCTTCTTAGAACTATTGTAGAACCATATTTTGATATCAA